AGTTTATAATGTTACTCAATGTGAGACTAACCTGTTTAAATATCTATGGAGTTTATAATGTTACTCAATGTGAGACTAACCTCTTTAACTTTAAATCTCAAGGGTCTTCCTAATGTTACTGTACATATATGTATGCTGTGCCTCTTTTTGACAGGTTTCTTGCAGATGTCACATTTTTGCAGGAAATATAACTTTTCTAAGAGGTCCGATTATCTTTTATTTCTTAGCATATTTAATGTTAATGCATCCTGGTCTTTTGGAAGCTCTAATAGTTGTGGGCTGGGGATTCTTTTTAATCCTAATTTTGAGAGGGTCCATATTAAACTTTTATAGGTGTAGTCACAGTTGATGTCAGCATCCAAAAAAGAGAAATCAGGAAGAAGTATCATCCAAGTAGTCTGGAACTCGACAATTCTGAAGACAGAAAGTGATGAAGCAAACATGTTACGATTAGAATGAGAGTTGTCTGAGTTCAGATATTAAGCTATGATGTAAAAGAGAGTAAAAGCCTCTTTCAAAATTGAATAATATCAAGCTTGATTAGTTGAAGTGAGGCCTGGGAATGAGATAAATAGATGAAATGTGCACAATGAGACAAATTTCAGGGTTTTGCTGAGAACATTTGTAAGACTGATTGCTCAATAGAAAGTAGAATCAGTGGGAGGTTTATGAGATTAAAGAAAGAACAGATTTGTACATGTTCTCCATGATCTTGGAAAAAACAAAAACTGTAGAGAAGGAACTTGACTGAGGGATTCTGTAGATGGACATATGTAATTACATTCAGACAAAGCTGTACTATGACAATATCGGAAAGCCAGTTGAACATCATAAATTCTAATACGAGACAATACATACACAAAGATCTATTAATAAGAGTGGTATACGTCTGAGATTTGTACCATCAATAAGAATGAATGATGGAAAAGGTCAACTATATGATGTGGTGAAGTTGGCTTGTGTGTGTGGCAGTGAAGTTCACTGGGGCTGGCATCAGTGAGAACAATTGTTGACAGAATTAGATGTTGAAAGACATAAATTAAACTTGGAGAGTATGTCAGCAAGGTAGGTGCATCACACAGATCAGTCGATTTTGTCGTAAGGATGAACGAGTCAACCTGAAGGAGACCTGTGGTAGATGTGGACAAATAGGGAGATGGTCAATTTCAATGACATAGAAACAATATATGAGTGAAACAACATAGGTAGAAATGATAACTTCCATAGAAGAGATAAATTTTGGCCAACTTGGACATGGGAAAGGAAGTTGGAAGCCAGAGAAAGTATCAAAGAAGGTGTGGAATTGAGCAAGTTCCAACAACTATGGAAGTGTATGTCTGCCAGAATAAGGAGATGGTCAATTTCAATGGCATAAAAACAATATACGAGTGAAATGAAACAACATAGGTAGAAATGATAACTTCCATAGAAGAGATAAATTTTGGCCAACTTGGACATGGGAAAGGAAGTTGGAAGCCAGAGAAAGTATCAAAGAAGGTGTGGAACTGAGCAAGTTCCAACAACTATGGAAGTGTATGTCTGCCAGGATTATATAACTTTTGATTAAATGATTGACAGAGATGAAAAACTGAAGTGGAAGTGACAAACTAAGGCGTATGTAATTTACATAATCTAAGTTCTAAGATAAACTGTATAATTGTCAGAAAAGATCCAGAAAATAAGAAAATTGTAACATAAAAAAATATTGGACAGTATAAAGCACTTGAAATAAGGTTGTGGCAATCTAATATTAATGATGGTTCGTATCTTATATGATCACCTAAGTCTAATTAGTAATTAGATACTGGTTATTTTCTTATTACCATGTAGTAACTACTAACTAGTTTATAATCAGCAGCTAAACTGCTTCTAGCTCATGAAGTTCTGAGAAATAAAACAGAACAAACACATTTTTAAAAAAAGATTGCAACATTTATTTACTAAAATTTAAATTTTTAAGCGTGGAAAATAACTATTTTCAACACATGCAAATGAATGAAAAGTTTAAAATAATAATGTACCTTGTTTCATTGAAAATGTAATGCTTGTCAGGAACCACATTAAGGAATACATAAATATACGTTACTTTATAAAGCAAATAATGCTTGTTTCAAGAAGATGTAAGCAAAACAAGATACTGATGAGATTGAGTTGAATGTTGAAAAAAACGAAAAGAGGTGGAACATTTTAAAATGTTTCATCTCATCATTAATTACAAGTAACATTAAATAATAATACAATTATAGTTACGAGTTTCTTAAATTAATATTTGTAAGTCAAGAGGATGTACATTTAAAAGCAAAAACCTGAATATTAGGCTACACAGATATAAGCTGTGGTTCCAATGAAACAAACAGCTACCAGGCAACAACAACCTAGCTACACACAGAACCTTTTAAACTCAAACAAAAACAGAAAACGTGAATATTATGCTAGACAGATATAAGCTGTGGTTCTAATGAAACAAACAGCTACTGGGAACAACAATCCAGCTAGACACAGAACCTTTCAAAATCAAACAAAAACAGCTTGGTTCAGCTTTGTGTGTAAAATACTGGATTTTTCATTAGTGGAAAGTGTTTTAATATAATGTGTGAACTGGAAATACATTCCATCTGAAGACCTTTATAAAAAATAATTAATCACCTTGAAAGACAGTTTCCACATATAATTCACCATAAATTAAAATATTTTCCTTCATACACAGAGTTAAATTATTTTGCTCTGTGTTTTTTAAAAGCTTTTTATTTTATAAGTACAAATCATTAGCTTGAAATTTCAGATCTTCAATTTAACTGATAAACAACAATAATAACTGTATATACTATACATACGATATCCTAATACCATACAATGTGGACAGGAAAACACAAGTAAGCTTCTATATGTAACATAGCCATAACACAAATTAATATGTGTTGTTCAAAATGCAACTTACTGTTGCACATATCAGTTAATCAAAATCTCACTTTTAAGGCTTTGAAACACTAAAAACAAGTGTCTTTTGTTTAAATGCAATAGTAACCAATAGAATCTGTACCTAAACAACATCAATTAGTACTTATACCAAGAAAACAGCAAAAAAGCAAGAATCAGTCACAAGAAATTTCTATACACATAGAACACAAAAAATGTACTCTACCAACAGAACAGCAAGAATTAGTCACAGAAAATGTGTCTGTATGTATAAAACAGTAATAATTACTCAAATGATATGTACATATACCAATTTATACATGTTAACTTATGATAATTGCAAAGTTTTTGTATTAAGGGTAGGTGAAATAGACACTATTATTTCTAGGTGGCAATGTTAATGTCACAAGATGTTATCATACAGGAAAGTATATTATGTTTGTCCTTAAATATGTGTTAATTAATAAATGCACTTTAAATTACGTTAAAAATGTCTCTTATGAAAATATGAATTTCTTACCACCATTATGAGCTGAATAGTTAAAAACTGTTTTACAACATATTCCAGAGAAACAATATCTTCTAGACATATTACAAATATATAATTAGAACTTTATTTCTGAATACCCTTTAAAAAGTTCTTGTACTTAGTACCCTTCCCATCATCATCAAGAGATTTGATTGCTTCTTGTATAATGCTCTGTGGTGAATGGTACTGAGGAGGTGAAGAGTATGATGTATTAGCCTCTGATGCTCCTGATTTATCAACAGGCTCTCTAGAGTTGCATACCATCACTTTACTTTTCTGTCCATTTCCACATTCAACTGTTTTAACAGATGCAACAAATTTGGTGGAAGGTAACAGATTTTTTATTTCTGAAGTACTTTCATAAACTTTTGCAAGTTGTGCAGGAAAAGGCTGTAGTTCAGACACATGAGAGTTGAGACCAGCTGTAGCAGCAAGTTTACTTATTAAGTGATAATGATAAATCATGAGAGTTCTTTGAAGTCTTACAGCCATACGGTGATTAGATTCAGTAATATAATCACTAAATTCACCTAAAGAAAATAAAGAAAAGCATGCCATTATGAGTTAATATTACAAAAACAGTTTGACAAAAACTATTTATAATAACAAAATGTGTATCATGACAAAAAACACTACTTACATAAAAAATGTGTGTGTGTATTAGAAAAATACTATCTGAAATAATAATGTGTATTATGAAAAAACACTTTGTAACAATAATATATGTAACAGGAACGTTACAAGAGAAGCATAATAATCATATGTGTCTCATAAATATTACATTAAACACCAATATATGATGTTGATAATAACATACATATCATCTAATATAACCATGTGTCATTAATAATGTTATTTCTATAATCACTCTTGTTAAACACTTTATGACTATCAAGTAGACAATGAAACTGTTTGAAACAATGTCACTCCTGTTAAACACATTATCATTTAAACAAAGAAATATCAATTAGATAAAGAATCAGTCTGAAACAATGTCATTCCTGTTAAATACTTTATGACTATCAATTAGTTAAAGAAGCAGTTTATTTTGTAGAAACAAATACCTGGTATTTTCCAATGTGTATGTGGGATCCTAATAAAGTGGCCAGTTAGTACAGAATCTTGTTTAATTTGAAATGCATACTTACCAAATATCTTCTGAACCACTTCTAAACATTTTTCTTTCACTGCAATAGGATCTAAAGTCCTTCTCTGTTCAGTCTGAAACCACAAAGTAACAAGGTAACTAGCATAGCCTGTACATATTGTTTAAGTAACTCTACTAAAGACTTGAATCTTATATCCCAAAACAAATAGACATTTTCTTACGCTATAATACTAAAAAGATTCCCTCCAAAGATCTTGGCAATGCTATTGGAAAACATTATTACTTAAGAGTTCTAAGGGCAAATAATTTTTCCAAATAAGTCACTAAAAGCAAAACTGGAACAAAACTCAGCAAGTTATGTCACATTGCAGCATGGCACATATTCAATAAAATATAGCTAACAGATGATTCACAGACTTCATTACAAAAATGGTATATCATCTAAACTACAAGGAAAGGGAAAATTTAAATCACCTCTGCTACAATATACATGTTTTGTGTTAATGGTGAGATTACTAACTAGAGAAATACAAGAATATTTAGCAGAAGATGCTACAGCAACAAATTAAAGGACAGCTGAACAGCTTTCATTACAAGTAAATTCAAATCATCACAGAACTACTGTTTCTAATCTCAGTTCCTCAGCTGCCAATATTACATTCTAATGAGGCCTCCTTCTTCACAAGTAAATTCAAATCATCAGAGAACTACTGTTTCTAATCTCAGTTCCTCAGCTGCCAACACTACATTCTAATGTGACCTCCTTGAAATTCAAGGGCTCAGTTCACTATCAGGGTTTCTGGTTAAAAGCCAACAGAACAGTTTAGATGCATAAAAAATTACAAGACACAAACTAACGTCCTTAGAAACTAAATTCCCAGAGTATAGCAGTTTACTATTAATGTATTTATAAAGAACATAAATAAATTCTAGATGCAAATTGTTGCCAAAATAAAATATTGGTAGTATTTACACACAAACAACTTTTTTAGCCAGAGTACTCACAAGCCAGTAGTGCACATCTGTCAAGAAAAAAGTAAATTAAATATAAAGTTATATTAAAATATTTATAAATTTTTACTTACTTGTGACTCCTTATCATCTAATTTTCTTATCATTTGTTTCTTTTCAGACTCATACTGTATTTCATCTCTAACAGAAAAATGTTGCTTTTTAACTTCTTCAGTTCTTGCCTCAATTTTTATTTCATTTTGAGACTGAAGCTCTATCACTTTTTTTTTCAGACAAACCACAACTTTTGAAAATTCTTCCTTCAGCTTCTTGATTTCACCTTCATGTTTTTTCTCAGAAGATAACAAACGTTTCTGATATTTCTTGATTTTCTCTTTCAGATCCTTTTCTATATTTTGAAACTTCAAGAGTTCCTTTTCAATTGTTATCAACTCCCGATTTCTTCCATGATCACTATCAGTAGTTAAATCAGTCTGGACATCTTTATCACAATTGCTATTCTAGTTGTCAAAAAAATTAAAACTTTAATGAAGCAAGAACTTTTGTTATTAGTAGAAAGTGCTGAATTTAAACCTTATTATAGTGAGGACAAATTAAACTTTCCAATTTCTGTAAAATATTTTTTATTTGTGACTCATTTCAACCTTTTTTCAAACCAAAGGGATGTCATTGACATTCCTTGATTTTGCTCCTTGTCACAGTAGAAATACTTAACCATATTGCATGAAACTTGGGAAGAAGTGAGTAAATGTCATATATTTTGGGATTATACATATACATGTTATTCAATTTACTTTTAACATAAGTTCTATGTTGTGAAATTTCTAAAACTGAGACACTATTTTGAACAAACATTAAAAAATATTTTATTTAGGATTTAATTTTTTTATAATGATCACAAGGTTCTATTTTATATATCCAATCAGTTTCAATTTGACTGATATCCATAAACATTTATTAACTACTGTAATTGGCAAATTACAGTAGCTACAACTTGTGGCTATAAGTCATAAAAAGTATTACAGAAACTGGCAAAGATTAATGGATGACCCCAGACCTGACCTTTGAAATGTTGTCAGGTCAAACTACGTAACAATACTTTCAATAACAATATTCTTGTTCAAGATCAATTTATATCTAATAAATATAATTTATTTTCAATAAATATAAGTTCCTTGACTGTTTGAATACAAAACATTAATATTCAATAAATAAGGATTTGAGTCAATGGAATATTTTGACAATGCCTAACATACTCTCCAAACCTAACTAAGCTTACCTGATGTCTTATCAAAGAAGAAAATTGCCATAGCTTTCAAATAAATATATTTTAACAAGAAAATATTTTCAAGAATGACTAAGGAAATTCCAACAACTTTCTATATCTATCTATAAACTTCCCGTTGGATTCCTTTGTTCTTCTATTGATACCTTCCCATAAAACCATGAATTACTTCTCAACTAATTAATTCAATCTATATTAACATAAATAGTTCATAATGTGCTCTATCCATTGCTATTTAAACTTTGCTTGTAGCTACTTCCAAACTTGAGCTTCATTAATTGTTGTTCAAATCCCATGCTGTGTATCATAAAAAGGTCAGATTAAAAGCCTATGGTAATAAAATCAGAGAAAGAGACAGAAAATTACATGAGAAACAAAATATAGATATATACTCTCGACAGATGACAGTTTATTAACAAATGTAAATATAAGTTTTAAGATGGGAGAGAAAAATTCTAAAACCAAATTAGTAAGTTCTTTGTTTACAAGAAAAACAACTTGGAGCTCTAAAGAAATGATAGCTGGAACATTTTGTTTTTAATTTTTCTTTACAAGTGATACTAAAAAAATCTTTTAAAATAATAGATATAAATTTAAAAATATTTTTGTAACTGAGATAGAATTAATATTTTTACTTAAATCTGAACACTGATATGTAGTAACGACTGAAAGGTGGTCTTGGTATCTTTAAATAACAAGTTTAGGAAACTTCTAGGAGATATGTAGAAATGATAGCTGGAAAATTTTGTTTTCATTTTTCTAAAAAAACTGCATTAAATAAATCTTATACAATAACAGATATAAATTTCAAAATATTTTTATGTTAAATATGTTGCAATTGAAGTGTTATTATTATTTTTACTTGAATATGAACACCTGAATGGTGCTCTGTGTTTTTAGTAAGGTTAAGCAAGAACCTTTACCATATTATTAAATGCTAAATCTGTTAATACTTGTTTGTCTATTGTTGAATTCCATGCAAAACTTCTTTAAATAATAAATTCAAAAGACATGTGCCAAAGGTATAAACACTCTCAAATCAAGTTTACTAGTATAAATCATATCAATTCAAAATTTGCTTTTTCCCACAAATAAAATATAAAAATGGATGCAATGCACACATTAAACACCATATGAGAAGGTTTTAATGTCAACAATAAAAGCAACATTTAATACGATGAAACTTAGTTGAATGGATGGCAACTGCCTGTTATAGAAACAAAAGTGAGGAGGACAACGTTTCAAAAGGTGGAAGACTTTTGTCGTCTACACTTGTGTTTCTACAACAGGAAGTTGCCATCCATTCAACTAAGTTTCATCATGAATATTCTGCATAAACAATCTATCAGAGCAAAAACATTTAACACAGTGCAAATCAGCTCCTGCGATAAGGTTTAAAGACACTTATACTGTAGAATTTAAACAAATATAATAAATACAGGTTAGATTTAACAATAAAAATAATGTAGACATAGAAAAACATAATAAATGTACATAAATTTAACAACACTTATATTGTAGAATATAAACAAATACAAGAAACACAGGTACTTTTGTTAGATTTAACAATAGAAATAATGTAGACATAGGAAAACATGGTAAATGACTTTGTTGGATACAGGTTCACCATTATACGAGTCACACTAAAACAGAATGTAAAAACAATACCATCAAGATTAGAATTAATCCCACTACTGCAGATGTTTCCTATGTATTTTATATAGAAAATGAGTGATTTTACACACGTTTTTGGTAGTTCTTTAGGTTGAAATTTGAAATAGGCAAAAACATAAAGTAACTTAATATGATGTAACATGTATACCCCACCATAATATGATGCAACATGTATAACCCACCATAATATGATGCAACATGTATACCCCACCATAATATGATGCAACATGTATAACCCCA